AAACCAAAATTGCACCCCACACATGCCAACTTTTGCATTAGCCTTCTTAATATTTTTGAAGCATAGTTAAATAAACTTGTAGCTAATTGGAAGAGTCAGAGTAAGAGATAGCTTTTTAAAAAACAGTGTAACAGTGTTATAGAGATGCAGTGGCTCAAGTGGTTAAGACGCTGACTCTGTTGATTGCAAGATCAGCAGGTTGGCAGTTCGAGGCCCGGGTGCTGCATGATGGGGTGAGCTCCTGTCACTAGTCCCAGCTTTTGCCAGCTTAGCAGTTTGAAAGCAAGCAAATGCAAGTAGATAAATAGCTACCACTTCTCAGCCAGAAGGTAAACAGTGTTCTGTGCAATCATGCTGGCCACATGATCACAGAGTAGTCTTTGACAATGCTGGCTCTTTGGCTTAGTAACGGAGATGAGCACCGCCCCCTACTCTTGGACACGACTTAACTTTGTCAACGGGGAATACCGTTACCTTTGACAGTGTTATACCCTGGTTCTGGTGCTGAATGGCCTAAACAGCATCCAGACTGTTTGCACCAGAACCAGGGTTTGGTCCATGTCTATAATCTAAGCAGGATTCTGCCAGAAAAGGTATGTGGGGGGACAGGCCTATTTGCTCATGCAGACAAAGCCTAGGCCTCCCCTTGCTTGTCCTATGTAAATAGTGCATTAGTACTTTCTCCAGAATCAGTTTCTGTACTCAGTAAAAGCCTTATGAGTTCCTTTATAATACAGTCTTCCTCCAGGATTCTCAGAATTTGCAATGTATATGTCTTTGGATATGTACATCAAAGCACAACTTTGTGTATCATAGGCTCAAAGAGATGCAAAGGTCCTGGGCAAGTGCACCAAATCAATTGAAAAAGTAGGAAGATGATGAAATTCCTCAATGCTCTTAATTAACTATTAGTCTACTAGGGGTGGGAAAATGTTTCTTCTTTCTTCTTTGCACCATGGATTGTTGTGATGTCTGAAAGCAAAACTTGGGCTTCTCTTTGGCTTGTTCCTCCAGCTGGACACTTGGAAACAGAAGCTGACAAAAGGGATGGAAGAGAAACAGATCAGAAATAGAGAGGACAAACTGGTTTATTTGGTTGACTGTGGAATAATTCAGGGAAAAAGCAACACACTGTGGCTAATATAAATTTTGGCATTGCATGACATACAAACATGGTTATTATGGTTTCCTTGCAGAGGACCCCAGCAGGGATACCATCCATAAGCCAAATTGAAAAGGGAGCACATAGAAAAGCATTCTTAGTGATCACTTCCTAGGTCTGGAAATCTCATTCCACTTGAAAGCAACCAAAGCATGACTGCTATCTAGGAGTATGGGTAGCCTTATTATTTGGGATGGTATTTAGTGGCTAGGGCTTATTTTAGAGTATAACTGTTAATCACTGATTCCTCTAAAAAAGGAAATGCATATTTTATAGATAATATTTTGATTTTTTACACTGTTTTCACTGATTTTAAACTGTCCACAACTTGTCAAATTCCAAAATTTGCTTTTAGTCTCTTAGTGTTATTTGTACAGTTTTAAATGATTTTAAAGTGTTCAAATTGATTCGATTGTGCACTGTCCTGAAATCCTTGGAGACAGGATGAGATATAAATATTTTAATAAGTAAGCGAATACTTTTTTAAACAATATACATTGATATATACATACATTTTTTTTAAAAAAATTAAGTTCATAAACCTGAAGCAAAATTATAAAGTTAACCTAGGATTATAATAATTAATTACTGAGTTATTAAGAAGAGAATTTAGCCTGTTCCTATGATCAGGTAAATGCATTTGTGCTTGCTTGTTGTTGTTTTAGGAATTAGGAACTGTCTTATTTTTATTTTTTAAAATATATTTATTCTGCCTTCCTCATGAATTGAACCCAAGATGGTTTGTGCATGAGGTAAAACAAGGTAAGCGAATTAAAAATTACAAGTACAAACAATTAAAACACAATTAAATAAGCCATCTTATTAAAACAATACAGTCAGCCTGTGGACCCAGTATCCATGGATCGTTTCCCACATTACTGTCAATTGCAGCATGTGTATGAGTCCATGCTGACATGACCATACTCATATTACTGCCCATTGACTATAATGTGGCTTGAGCACATGAGTTTTTCCTAAGAGAGGGCCCTCCAGAACCAAACCCTATGGATGGGAAGGGTGCACTGTACATTAAAATGATACAAGTCATTTAAAATGATACCGACAACAATAAAAATGTAGCACACATGCCCCTTTCCTCATTAGGTACTTAGTCACCAAATACTTCTTCACATACAAACATCTTTATCTGCTGGCAGAAGGAAAGCATGGTGGGAGACTAGCCTAGTCTTCTGTGGCAGAGAGTTCCATAGCCTTGGAGAAGCCACCAAGTAGGATTTCTCCTGTGTCCTCAGCAAATGTTCCTGTGAACGAAATGGGACAGAGAGGAAGACTTCCCCCAATGCTCTTTAAACTCAACCATACCCATGTGGGGAGATTCTTGGATAGCCTGGATTTAAGCCATATATAGCTTTATAGGTCACGACCAGCACTTTGAACTGTCCATGTTTATATGGTCTGAATTTTATGCAGTCATATATGAAAGCACAAAAATGGATGTACAATCCCATGGAAGAATGCACACATTTGTATAGAAATGTCCAGGTTCAGGGCAGTATTAGAAACAGGTGTGGAGTGTGGCAAAGGCATCAATGTGAAAGGCAGACACTTAACACTGGCATGGAGGACTGTAGTACAACTGGAGTGAGTGATACAGTTTTTCTTTTAAAAAACAGCTTTCCCCCCTTATTCCCCAAAGTATGTTATTAATTCTCCTGGCATGTAGCATAGCTGAATGATTGCATTTATGAGCCTGGCCACTTCTTTTAACACGATCCAATATCTGCTTCCTAAAACTCTTGTTTTTATATCCGTTACATACAGTAAGTGCTGAAATCATCCAAAGAGCAACCGGGAAGATTTGCCTGTTTCAAACGAAGATTGCCAACTGTAAAATATGGATATAATTTTACAACATTATTTTATAATTAAGGTAATAAGTGAGGTTTCCTGCTATTGTTTAAAAATGTGTCATTATACATTTAAATCAGAGATAAAGACATAGAAAAGACTACTAAGTAACATGTTGGCAGCAAAGATGCTATAGAAGGAAGAAAGGAACAGCAGAGGGACATGTGCAAACAATTTCATTGGAATACTTATATTTATAGCACATAGATTCTGTTTTAGGAACTGTAACCACTTAGAAAGTATTTTCATTCATGCCAGAATGAGGTTAGGTTGTTTGCTATTTACATCTACATGGACAGGGTTATTTTGTGTGTGTGTGTTTTTAAAAACTGCCAATGAACTGTCATATGTTGGTTTTTATGAACGAAAAACATTTTAACCAAGCTATAAAGAACGCCCTAAAAGAATGCAGAAGGTCCATCAGTTTTGGTTGCATCCTGCACCTTGTTAGTCATATATAAATGCCACCAAAGACAATGGCCAGGATCCAATGAACCACATAATGAGTTCCATAGATGCAAAAAAGGTTGCTGTCTTGTGGTTGCTGGACAGCCGACCCTATGTACAACTCAGCAAGAAACATTTGAAGCTGAAGGGGTTTTCAAAGGCATGTTTGGTATGGGCATCATGAAGTCTGGTGTTCATTAAAGTGAAGGGAGGGAGAAGCAGAAATAAAAACCCCATTGGGCATGCTCAAATCCCTGTATGTACCTAAAATAGCTCTTCAGAGTCTGACCAAAGACAGTATGTATAAGTAAAGGTAGGGTTAGAATTCAGACCAAGCATATCAGCATGCAAAGGGATCTTGTAGCACCTTTGAGACTAATAGTGTGATAGAGGTTGTAGCATAAGCTTTTGTTGACTTTGGGGCTGAAGAGACACCCCTAAGGGGCGGTGTCTCACTGTCCCTTTCCTTGCCAGATTGGGGCCATGGCAACGACACTCTGTGGCCCCAATCTGGTGGTTTGCTGCTGTAAAATGAGCAAACCATTCCCTCTCTACAAGCTGGTGGGCAACTGTGCTTGGTACTTAATGCATAACACTTAATGGCATGGCCAGGGCCTGTCTCCAGGTTTCAGGCCTTGGCTCTGAAAACTCAGGGTCTAAAAACTGGCAACCCTAGTTTTTATGTATATATACGTAATTTTGGGATGGCATGTTTAATTATCCATTCAGAACAAAATGATTTTTTTTTTAAAAAAAGACACATATAATGTTAGCACAACCTGCATACTCCACATTATTTTGGGGTACAAATATTTGATATATTTTGTTATAATAGCAGTTACATTGAGGCCAACAGCATGATCTTGAAAAGGTCATGATGACCTTTTTAAAGCCGTGTGAACTTTTCATGAGTGGTCACATAAGACCTGAGGGCATGTGGAAAAGACCCATATATCTTAATGGCTGTAAGTCTTGCTTCTTCCCAATCTCCTGGCATGTGTACTCCTGTCTGCCCCATTCAACTCCCAGCCTTTCCCCAGATTGGAGCCTGGCTCCTGGAATTGGTACATATTGCCCATTACAATTCCTTTAATTTGCTGTCTACTACCACCTTGTGTACTCTGTGTGTGTGTGTGTGTATGTTGATTCCTCTTTTTATAAATGAACTAATCTAATTTGGAACCTGCCTCTGGAGTTCTTTGGGTTCGGAACCAATGTACATATGCGATATCATAGCCAGAGTAATGTGGACTAGAACAGAAAACCTATTTTCTGTTGAGATTTAGGAAACAGTATGTAAAACCAATTGCATTTGACACAATCTGTTGAACTTGATACAATCAGATGATGAAACAGAAGCAGAAATATAATGTTGTTGTATGCCTTCAAGTCATTTCCAACTTATGGCAACTAATTTATCAAGGAGTTTTTTTGGCAAGGTTTGTTCAGAGAATTTTTTCCCTTTATCTTCCTCTGAGGCTCATAGACTGTGACTTGCCCAAGGTCATCCAGTGGGTTTCCATAGCTGAACAGGGATTCAAACCCTGGTCTTCAGAGTCATAATCCAACACACAAACCACCACACCATACTGGCTCTCTGGAAATAACATATAGGTAAAGGTAAAGGTTTTCCCTTGACAAGATTGCCTAGTCATGTCTGACTGTAGGGGATGGTGCTCATCTCCATTACTAAGCTGAAGAGCCAGCATTGTCAGAGATGACTCTATGATCATGTGGCCAGCGTGATTGCACAGAATGTTTCCCACTGAAGTAGCACCTATTTATCTACTTGCACTTTTACATGTTTTCAAACTGCTAGGTTGGGAGAAGCTGGAACTAGTGATGGGAGCTCACCCCATCATGTGGCATTTGTGGCAATCATCAGAGTCAGTATCTTAACTGCTGAGCCACTGTGTATATATAGATCTATATATTTTAGAGGTCTAAAAAAGAGGTATTTTTTTAGATCTCTAAAATATATATAGATCTAATTTCTAAAAAAGATGTTAGACTGCAACTCAAGAAACATTGCCTTTCTACACTACATGGTTGGTGGACTGTTTGGCTTGGTGAATATTGGTTATGCTAGGCAGAAATGAACACCTCCAAATAGAACTATCAGGGACAATGTATACTTAGCAGGTATTAGAAAAATTAATTTTGGGGAACACAACACCCAGAAAAATCCAAGCCGTACAGGTACTTGGCATGCTGGCTATGTGTGTGTGTGTGTGTGTGTGGGGGGGAGGATTGAGAGTTATAATCTTTCTAAAAGCAAATTTTCCAACCTCTGGTTATTACCAGCCCTCAGATCAGTTATAACAACTTCCATTTCCAAATGAGTTATAGTACAATTGTGTTCATTATCTTGCATGATACAAGCAACAGGTGGCACTGCAGGCCCACATTTGTGTAGCCATCCTGAATCAGCAACAGCCTGCTGGGCCAACTAAACAAGCACCTGCATTTCCAAAAACAACATGGACAGGGTTGTTTCTAGCTGCTCCAGAAATATATGCAATTCTATTTGGTCATTCATAATCATATCTTTGCAAACTTCAGATAATTATATCCAAGAAAAGTTCATCAGAAGGTAAGGGATTTCTAGGATTCCTAACAACCTTGGTCAGCCTTTGGGAAATAAGTATATTTCGACTGACATTTATTTCTCATTTGCACCATAATGGCTGTGTTAAAATTGAATGACAGATTGACTGATGTGTGGATCCATTACCTGTATCCCTTTCTTCCTTGCCAAAAAAGCTCCTTTAAAGTGGCTTAAAATAAAGTAGAGTAAAACACATAGAAAATGAGAAGTCAGGAAATTCAAACCATAAGTTGAGAACAAGGTAACATAAAAATGAAACCAGAAGTTGAAAATATGAAATTGAGAACCAGTTTTCATATAAAATGTAAAAAGAGCTGGCTACACTCCTCCAGTACTAGGTTAAGTACAATAGTTGCCAGATCTCAGGGTCTGAATCCTCTTCTCTGGTACTTAGGACAAGGAGAAGGAAACTCAGGGGACAGTACTGTCTGGAAAGGGATGTGTGAGTATTCCTTATTTTTAGATATTTTTAAATTTGAATTGTATATTCTGTGCAACTCTGCTTGATGTTGATATCATGCTCATTGTAATCAGTGACTAGAGAGTGTGGTAGCTTCTCAATACCAGGGGTTTCTGGATGAGAGCAATGATCTAGATCTATTTCAATCTGGTTTCAGACGTGGTTATGGGGCAGAGACAGCTTTGGGCAACTAGGTGGACAACCTATGCCACAAACTGGACAGGGGAAATGTGTCCCTGTTGGTTCTGCTGGAGCTCTTGGTGGCTTTCAATACCATTGATCATGGTATCATTCTAGCTCACCTTGCTGGGATGGGCTTGGAGGTGCTGTTGGGTGCGCTCAGAGGTTGGCGTTAGGGGATTCCTGCTCGATTCCCTGGCCATTGGCCTGTAGAGTCCCACAGGGTTCAGTCTTGTTCCCTATGCTATTTAACATATGCATGAAACTGCTGGGAGAGGTTGTGTGATGTTTTGGGGCCAAGTGTCACCAATATGCTCTATTACTCCTTTCTAATTAATTTCAAGGAAGCTGTTTCTGTGTTAAACCAATGTCTGGCAGCTGTAATTGACTAAATGAGGGAAACAAATTAAAGCTTAATCCAGACAGATAGAAGTGCTCCTGGTCAGTCAAAAGACAGATATGAGAATGAGGATTCAGCTGGTGTTAGACAGGGTTACATTCTCCCTGAAGGCGTAGGTGGGTGGGGGGTGCTCTTGGATTCAGCAGTGACCAGGATTGTATTTGTACAATTACAGCTAGCATGCCAGCTACTGCAATTCCTGGAGAAGTTGGCTCTGGCCACAGTTACACATGCTTTGGTTACATCCTGTTTGGATTACTGTAATGCACTATATGTAGAGGCTGCCTTAGAAAAATGCTCAGAAACTTCAATTGGCCCAAAGAACTGCAACCAGATTGTTACCTGGGTCTGGCTACAGGAGACATACAACTTCCTTGTTGCAACAGCTCAACTGGCTGTTGGTCTGGTTCCCAGCCGAATTCGAAGTGCTGGTGATGACCTATAAAGCCCTGTACAGCTTGGGTCTCAGCTGTTTGAAGGACCATGTCTCCCTTTATGAGCCCATCAGAGTTCAAAGATTATTTAGAGAGGTCCTACGATCTTCTCAGGCTCATTTGGAGGGCCTTCTCAGTGACTGGTCTCATATTGTAGAATTCCCTTCCTAGGTAAAGTGAAAAACATTCTCCTGTCAACAGACTTTTAGAAACTGACTGGGGTGGGATTTTAACTCTGTGTGATACCATTTTTAAGGTATTTAGATAGTGTGGTTTGAGCGTTGGATTATGACTGTGGAGTTGAGGGTGTGGATTTCCGCTTGACTATGGAAATCCACTGGGTGACGTTAGGCAAGTCATACACTCTTAGCCCCAGAAAACCCTGTGATAGGTTCACCTTAGGGTCATCATAAGTCAGAAATGACTTGAAGGTACACAACAACATAGTCTTTTAATGAATTTTGATGTTTTTAATGTTTCATATTTTAACTTTATAAATTGTTTAATTGTTTAAAATAACTTTTAAATAACGTATATATTTATACTTTTATTCAAGCTTTTTTATAGTGTTAATCTGTGTTGTTTTTCCAGAATATTGCTAGTTGCCTTGAGTCCCTTTCTTGGGAGAAAGGTGGGATATAAATGACTAATATAAACTTATACAAATTATTGCTGTAACATCACCAGAGCCTGCCTTCTGTGCCATCACAAGAGGTAACCATAGGTTTCAGGTTTTGGCCTGAAATCTCAAGGACTGGGATTGTCCTGAGCTGGCAGCCTTATCTTGTGTTGTGATACCTATTCTTTGGAACATGTGCTTAAAATGGTGGACATTTTGGAGTTTCTTCTGGACAGAAGGTTACTTAAAACTTGGAAGTAACTAATTACTTGTTATGCATTTCTTTCCTAATAACAAAGGCATGACTCCAGTACTTAATAATGGGCAGTTTCACTCTTTTTGCCCTTAACTATGTTTTAGAGCCATATCACAAAAGCAAACAAAGCAAACAACACTTTTAGAACTGTCTCCCATGGGAAGAGAACTGAAGCACTATGGTGTCATGCGGTAAGGCATGGAGAAAGCTGCTCCTCTCTGACTCTGTTTCTCATTTGTTTTCCCATGAGATAAGACACTTTGTTGCTATTATCATTACACCAGTGGCCTCACTGAAAAGTAGAAGAGTCTCACAGGGTTCAAGCACCAACTCATGCTGTTCCTTGTGTTGTTGTCTGTTTTCTGTTGTGGGTCCTGCTGAAGCAACATCAAGGAGAGTGTGTTTTGTACTATAGAACAATGGCTTGTAGCATTCTAATGTTGTCTTTTTTATAAAAAAGTGACCAAAAAGATCTGCTTTTGTTATTTGTGAAAAACAGCAAAGTGAAGATGGGGAAAATTAGTAAGCAGAAAAGCAAAGACTGAGGGGGTTATCGCATGACAAATCTGCACCAGGATAGACATGGATTGTAACTGTCATTGATGGATCTTATCACACTTCCCCACGCCTGGGCAATAGGCAGCCCATATCCAACCCAGGCTTGTTTGGGAGCTTTTCAAGAATGGGCAAATCCCATTCATGAAAAGCTGTGGGAGAAGCCTGAATTGGATATAGGTTACCTACTGCCTGGGCACAGGGCAGTTTGATAATATCTGTTGGTGATGGTTATATCCCTCATCTATTCTGACACAGATCTGGCATGCAATAATCTTCTGAGTCACATACCATGACTAGATACCATACTGAAAGTAGAATTGGTAAAATAGTATAACATACTTTAGTTGCCGAAGGAAGACCTTTTCAAGAGTGTGACCATTGTTTTCAAGCATTTAACAGAGCCACCTGTGCTACTCTTGGGTATGAATCCCACATCTTTGGACAACTGTATAAAACAAACTTTTGGATCTGTTCACATCCACAGTCCATATTAAAGGATAGTCATAGACAATTGTCTGGAACAGATGGACTTAAAAAGCTGGCTTCCATGTGGTTTGGGGACATGGTGATTACATGATGCATGTTTCCAACCTGTGTGGAAGCTGCCCTGAAGCCATGATGGGTCTGCCTAAGGTGGCCCAAAAAGGAGTGGATCTTTTTCATTTCTTGCCACGGTCCATTTGGGACCATAGCAGGAGGTGCCCTAGGGTGATTGGGCTGGGAGCAGCTTCAGGCCACCCCTTCCTGTCCATCTGTTTCACCTCAAAGACAATGATCAACTCACTCTCCACCTGTCCCAGTTTAGCAGGGACAGTTCCAATTAACAGTTCTGCTTTTTCAGCTGCTTCTAAACCATCCCACTTTCTCTCTAATCCTTTCACTTTGCTTCTTTATCCTCAGATTACTTCAGTTGCTGCAAAAGTTGAGTTCAAAGCATAAAGGTAGCTTGTATGAAATTAACACAGCAGTGAGGAGAGGAGGGATGGGGCAGAATCTTGCCATTCCCAGCAAGCTGAGGAAAAAGCAAGCTGCTGCAGTCTCTTCTAGCTTGGGTGTTCCCCTCCATTAATAATGTTTGC